AAAACCCGGGAAAATTCAAAAACAGTCAGCAAAATTCTTTGGGCACAGCGAAGTCACGAAGAATACCAAGGAGTCTCCAGGAGTACGACAAAATTTGAAAAAAACTGATTGCCTTTGGAATGGAACCCAGATTACAAAAGTCACAAAATCTGCTGTTTCCCTCTTGGTCTGCTCCCTCACTTTTTTTTCTCAGGTCTTCTTGATTGTGCTCTATTAGCAAAAATTTTCTCTCTCATAAAAAACGTTTTCTGAGCACTTTTAGAATATAGTCTTGACTTATGAAACACATGATTATAAGGTGTAGTATGTAATTATGTCAATGCATCTATTTCGCTTCTTGCCGTATGTTAAAAGATGTATTTATTCGGATATTTGCCTCTTATTATAGAGGGTGTGCGCTTGTATTTATGTATGTACAATTTAGCTTAGTTAAATCAATTGAAGTGTTTCATTGTTGTGTCATGTTGACGATAATTATTTTTTTTTTCTCTCTTTTCGTTCAATATCCTTTCTTTTGTATGACAATGTCACTTGATTATGAAAAGAAATTGTGAGAAAAAAACGTAGATATTGTTATTGTTGCTTACTCGCATACACACAAAAAGAAAGAGAATGAAGAAAACGAAGACGATAGAGATCTCTTTTTTTTCAATAAATTATTTTTAAAATTTCTTTTCTTTTTTTTTTTTTTTTTCTCTTCTATTCTATAAATGATGATATCAGTAACGGCAATTAGAAAATTTCTTTTTGTATCTCTAAAAGTCAATGAGAAAACGTATCACAGACAACACTAGGCACATAAAATTTTTATCCAATGAATTTCTTATTATTTTATCATATGTATATATATAGATATATATATATATATATATATCGCATTTTGTGTAGGGTAATATAATGTCCTAGACAAACATGATATCGACAGGTAATTAAATTTTAAAACTTTTTGCTTCCACTTTAAATCGCAGCAAATTCTCTTACGTCTGTTGAGAAAAATTGGCATGATTTTTGTTTTAAGAATGTCAAAGTCGTCGTCGATAATGGTCAGAACAAAGAGACAGCTAAGAGAAAATCGAAATCAGTTGTTGTAGATGCTGAATCAGCGATTTTAATCAAGGAGGAACGGATCAGCCCCTTCCTGGAATTTCTATTTTTCCTATAAAAATTTTTGTCTTGACTTTCCGACGTGGAAAATATAGCAGTGGCATAAAAAATTACTTTTTACGTGCAACTTTTCTATGTTAATCATCCGCGTAGATATGCAAATACAAGTGTGATCTCTTTTATATCACTTGGGAATCTGTTTTTCTTCCCTAAGTATTTCACATCTGACTGGCTTATTTTATCGATACGAAAGTTGAAGCAACCATCACTTTCCACAAGATATTTTTATAAGCTTTTTGCTACAATTATAACTCTCCTCCTCCTCCCCCTCCTAGCCAAAAAACAATAGGAATCCCTGAAACTAATCTAGGATTAGATCTAACATTTTTAAATGAGAAAATTTTAATAATTTAGGCCTAGCTTCTAGCTAGAAATTTAGTAGACTACACGTTAAAAATAGATTAAAGCAACGTTAAAAGAAAAATGTGTCGAAAAACTAAATTTATTATTAATGTATTCACATTCATACAGACTCATTCAAACGCTTTATCCTATTCAATTTTCTCTTGTGTATATATTCTTAGGAAACGATTGTAGAAAAATTGCAATTATTTAGTTCCACAGTGGGTTACGATTCAATAATAAGTTCAATATAAAGACATTGATATAGTTAACAAAATTACGAAATTTTTCCTTAATTATAGTGACTCATATAATTGAAAAATTTTAGAATCTTTAATCAAAAGAACATATTATTTGTAGTGATAATTATTTTCTTCTTCAAAACAATTTCTTAACATTGACTCAAAAAACACATCTATAAGGTTATAAAAGTCAATTTTTAAAGACTGAATCCTTTTTTTTTTTAAAGAAGTAGAAAATAAATGATATTTTCCTTCCATACTTATTTAGAATGAGTGTAGAACAGACTAATTCAGTAAACTAGTCTGCTATTTTGTAAACAGATAGTCATTACAATATAATGCGTCTGTTTCATAAATCTTTGGAAAAAAAGTCATTAGAAATTATTTATACGGATACAAATACCGTTACACAATGTTATGTACTCATTCATCTTCTATTCAGTTAACCATTAGTAAAAATAAATGAAGCCCAATGATACTTGAAATATATTGTTTTTTAACATATAACGTCAGTTTGTTATATTTCAAAAGCATTTGCCTTATGATTATCATTGTCGATGTAGGGTGCTTACAAGTGTCAGTTTCAACAGCCTCATATCTTTTCTACAACTGACAAGTTTCTGACATAGGCATCCATATCGATAGTACTCATGAAGTGCAGCTATAGTTTTGTATACTTGTAATGAGAAAGTGATGTGATATCGCCATTTCTACGCTCAGAAATCGAATTTGTGTACTTTATTAGTGCTGAAAAAATAATACAATTTTCGGTAAAACTTAGGTAAAGACTAGTATTATGTAGATCATACAATATTCGAAAGATTGTAAAAAGTTTCTGGTATCGATGCAGTTATCTATCTAAAGAAAATCGAAATTGTATGTCTTTTTTCATGACTAAATCTCTCTATACACTATGATTATTTGGGAGAATGAACACATTTTTCATTAACAAACCCATATTTACTTGATCTTTTACAGAAAAATTAGTGTTTTACAGTGAGTAAATCTTTTATCTGGAGATGGATGGATGTATGTTTAACGACAGAAAACATAATTGGAAAGAAAACAGGATAAAAAAAAAAGAAAATATTTTAAAGATCAAAAGAGTGAATGCAAGAGAGAAAGTGGGACTTATTTGATCATTGTACAAAGAATACTCTTCTGATTATGGTAATAATGTAAAAATAGTGTGTTTAAATGATACTAATACAAAAGTAAAGGCTTTTAATATGAATAATAAATTTTTTTGTAAAAAATTTTTTTATTAAATAAAAAAAAGAAAATTGTTTATTTCTCTAGAGCGTAAATCACTTATGTTTAATACACAAAGAGACACACTTGACACACTGATAATTCAACAGCATATGATGGATTTTTTCCTACCACGTAAGCTTAAATATTATTATATAAAAAATATTTTTATCAATAGTTTAACATATTGAATTAGATTCAAATAATTGTCAAATTAAAATAATTTTAGAACTATACAATGATAAGAGAAAATTTTAACATAAGGTTTAAAATCTTCTTAGTACAATGTGTAGTATAATGTATTGAATAAGCTATTTACAATACTCTTGTATTTCTAATATTAACTATCTAACAGATATATTCTTTTTCTATTCGCAATTTGACAATGATAAAGTGCTTACAGACGATCTAATATCTCTGTTTATTACGAATATATCAAAAATTGACTCAAAAATATAGAATATGACAAAGAAAACAGAAAAAAAGAAAGAAAAAAAAAATGAAACGATATAGGATTTAGTTTGTAATCATTAAGACATTGTCAACTATTAAAGTTGAATAAAAATGATAACGAAGAGCATCATTGCATGCTGACATGAAATAGATTATTATTTTTTCTCTCTACTAGGTAATTTCAAGATCATTGAATCTTCAAGTGTGGGAGTGTAGTTTTTCTGCTTCTAGACTACTACTGTCAAATAAATCATGGATAATACCATAGACATGTGATAATATTCTCATAAGGTATGATACAAAAAAAGAAAAACAACGAAAGCATGATAAAAAAAGAAACAAAAAAAAAAAAAAAAAAAAAATAGAATGGGGACAAGGCAAAAGAAGAAGAAGAAACGATTTTTTTTTTTGGGTTAATTTTTTTAATGGGTTTTTTATAAGGATTTAAAAATACATTAAAATTTATAAAACAAAACACTTTTTTTAAAATTTTCAAAATGTATTAAAAAAAAAAAAAAAAAAAAACCAAACCATAAAAAAAAAACAAAAAAAAAAAAAAAAAAAAAAAAAATAGAAATGCTACAAGTCGAAAGAAGAAGAAGAAACGATATGTTATATTGTCGTAAATTTAGTAAATGGATTTTTATCATCATTTATCAATACATTACAAATATTTATCCATTTAATTTATTTATATCTGTCTTAGATCGATTATTATTTTTTTTTTCTTCTCTAGTATAAATAGATGATAAAATCAAAATTCTCATGATTTTTTTTTTTTTTTTTTTTAATAAAAATTTTAAAAATAATTTTTTTAAATTTTGAGTATTTTTTTTTTTTTTTTTTTTTTTTTTTTTTTTTTTTTTTTTTTTTTTTTTTTTTTTTTTTTTTTTTTTAATTTTTTTTTAAAATTAAATTTTTTATTTTTTTTTTTTTTTTTTTTTTCTAATAAAAATGTTAAACATAATTGTATGAAATGTTCAGTCTTGTGTAGAATATTAATACCTACAGATATATAAAATGGTATTGTAAAATAGATTTCAATAATAATTATTTTCGTATGTTAGAAGAAAATAATCAAGAACTTGCTACTCTATATTAAGATTTAGAACAGACGTGACTTAAACATAATTGTCTGCTTTTTCTTTAAATGTAAATGTAGAAGATGTTGACAAAACTCTCTAGTGAATTATTCAAGGTTCTATACCTATGTGTATATCTCTATTTCGAATAGTTTTAAGATCACTTTGACGACATAAATGTCAAAAAATAAAGAAAAAGAAGAAGAAAAGTCGTTCTATCCTATCATTTTTATAGCTAATTAATGTGAAAAATTTTGAAATAAATAGTTTTTGATGAGTTTAATAATATTTTGAGTTAAAACTTATAATTCAAATTATTATATTGATTTTTATTTTCCTTGATGTAAGTGAATCTTAAGTAAAATTTTTCAGTTTATATGACTTTCAAGCCATTATTATTTGATAAGGATAGAAAGTAAACGGGAACTTTTATTTGTTCCAGAATTAATGTACCCCATAGTTGTTGATGGGATGTTTGCTTCAAAACGGTAAGATTTACAGGAAATACATTAATCTTTATTCTTCTCTTCTTCATATTTTCTCTATTAGAGAGAAGAAAAAAAAACTGTTTGTCTGATCAACTACTATAGAAAAAATATCAATTCAGATCGATTATGACAAATATCATGTCATTCTTATCTACTCTATTTTTAAGTTCTTTTATTTTAGCTCTCAAAATTGAGCAATATTTTATGACTAATGTATATAACAATACTAATAACTCTTCATTGTTACTAAATAATAATACATCACCGTTTCTCTATCTAATATCACGTGCTGTTACGGATAGTATTAGCAGTAGTTATTATTATAATCAACAACAACATCAATCTAATTTTACTTCATCATGGTCAACAGTTACAGCAACATTTGTATCTGATGATGCATCATTAGTTCGATATAAAAATTGGTATCGTAATTATCATGGATATTTTAGTGCAATTGTCTGTTTATTCGGTTTAACATGTAATTTATTTAATATTATCGTTTTAACTCGACCATCGATGCGTTCAACAACAAATACAATTTTAACAAGTTTAGCAATTAGTGATTTATTAAAAATGTTATTTGTATTACCAGCTGCCATTTTATTCTATTGTATACCATCTAAATTAGATGAAAAAAGTGAACCGGATTTTACAAATTATTTTCAAGTTCATTTTTATATGATACAAATGTTATTTACATTAACTCTTCATTGTATAAGTACATGGTAAGTACTACTATTATTAGACTATTAAATCTTAGATATATATCAAGAGAGAAAGAGAGAGAGTGAATGATCTTCTTTTTTTATTATTAAAAAAACAAAAAAATAAGTTCACTTTTTCTATTATAAAAATATATTTTTATTAATATATTTATTTTCAGGTTAACTGTATTATTAGCTGCATTTCGACATATATTTTTAACTTGTAAAACATTAACAGCCTACGTTTCAACACCTGGTCGAGCATTAGCCGGTGTTATATGTATTGTTATATTTTGTACAATACTTTGTGTACCATCATTTATTGAACATGAAATTGTTGCTGATACTGGTGAAAAATTAACAATTTTTAATAGAACTTCCATTCAAATAAAACCGATAACATATAAATTTATTGAAACAGAATTTAGTAGTAAATTATCATTACGTGATACAGTTTTTGTTTTACATGCAATTGTATTTAAATTAATACCATGTATTCTATTATTATTTTTTAGTTTTTTATTAATTCGTCAATTACGTCAAGCTTTAAAAAAAGCTGAAATTGTTAGTAAACATTCACAACATTCATCAACAATTACAACAATACGAGCAAAACGTGGTAGACGACGAGAAAAAGAAAATCGTCGTACAACATTAATGTTAGTCATTGTTTGTGTCTTATTTCTTGTTACAGAACTTCCACAAGGAGCAATATTATTTTTAAGTTTTATATCAGAAAATAAATCAAAATATTATTATCAAATATATCAATTACTTGGTAAGTATTATTTGTAAAAAATATTTTACTTAGTTGACCATCAATAACATTTATAGTATTAGAATATCTTTTTTTTGAATTTAAATACATAAATAGTGGACATATAATATTAAAATGATTTCCATTCATTTTTTGCACTTAACTCTTGTGCCTAAACTATATCGTTAACCATATTTTTGATCCTTTGTCATTTTTTTCAAAGAAAATAAAGAAACAGTAGTTTTTTTTTTTCACATATAATAGAAGAAGAAAAAAAAATAGAATAAAACTTCATCTTTTTTTTTATATCTAATTGCCTATCTGACAAAGAAAGGAATTATGCATAAATTGCATTGTTATGAGTGCATTTTTCTGCTTGAAAACATCATATTATAATGACTATAATATTTTTTCATTTTCTATTTATCCAAATATTACAATTGTATTACTTTAGACAAGTAGAGGGAAAAAAAATAACGAATTAATAAGAGCAATATTCTAAAAGAAGAATGCATAAATCTACAAAATCTAGAATCATTGATGAATGTAAAGTATTGAATCTAAACGCTTACAATATGAGAATCGTTTTCTCCTTGCACTGATAAAGCTTAACAGTTCTCAATCCTATTCGAAGGAGTCTATTATTATTATTATTATTATTATTAGTTTTTTTTACACCATTTTTATGTTATTTTAGGTGATACATTCGATATTCTTGCATTAATTAATAATTCAGTTAATTTTATTCTATATTGTTCGATGAGTCGTGCATTTCGAGATACATTTCGACAAACATTTTTTTTATGGAAACAAAGTGACCAACATGAAACAAAAATACCTGTTGTTGTTCAATCAACACCGATAAATCGTCAATTAAGTTGTGTTGTTCGTACACCAGCCTTTGGTATTGGTAATAATAAAAGTGAATATGAACCTGTGAAACAAATATGTGATACTGACTATCGATTTAGTATATTTACAGCATCAACAGCACTCGGCGGAAGTGATAAACATGTAGTAGCCACAATATCAAATGATAGTGATGGTCATGATAAAAAAATAATAAAAAAAATAGATAGTTCTACTCCTCTTTCACAACATTCCTCATCCTACCACTAAAAATCTTTTGTTTCCGTTTTTTTTAGAGAGCTTTTTTAATGTTTTGCGTGTTATTAAATAATATTGAATAATAATGCCTGCTGTTTAGCGGATATATATATGTGTGTGTGTGCGGTGTGTATGTGTGTACATAGATAGATATATATGCTTTTATAAAATACCCCTGACATACTGGCGGTACTAAGAGCTGTTTGAACTGCAAGTATTTTTCCTAGAATTTTGCAACTATCATCTACTATACTCAGCAACTCTAACTTTTAAATGAAATAACTATTTTTACTTAGATTACATGAGCATATCTACGTTATTTCGTTGAATAAAACTCTTGTTTAATAAAAATCGAATAGTTAATTATACAGGTGTTAGTCGTGCCGCTGACGATGAAAGAAAATTTTAAAATTACACATCACCGCTGATAAAAAAAATTTTCAAAAATCTTTGAAAAAGAATTATTAAGAATTAGAACTTTTCTGTTCTATCAACTAGAATTATGTGTAAAAGACAGAAATAAGCATTATATTGATATTTATCTCTATGGAGTATTGATGAACGCTGTTCCGTTCGTCTTCTTTTACCACCATTCTGTAGATTTCTCAGAGATGGAGAATTTTTTCCAATATGATAATTCTTCTTAAAAATTTTCATACCGCCACCGCCGCCAAAGGCCGAAAATCTTTTTGAAGTTTTTCGCCGCCACTGCCGATAAAGTAATTGTCTAACACATCTAGTTAATTAGTAAATACTCAATATGAGCAGACAAGTCTAAGTTGAGGGAAAGATTTTCCAGACTGATGAACTGTAATATCCATTACATTTGTTCTGCGTCTATAACCATATATTCATGTTATGAATAGAGACGGAGATAGTGATTATCATTGTACTCTTTAGAGTTTGTATTTGATAAGTATATCCATTCTATATTCTGTAATATAATTAGTAATGCAACATAAAAGTGTAATATGTATGTAAAAAACACTTTGCATACTGTATTCTGATTCTATACATATATATATTCTTATTTCTCAAAAACTTCTTAAGCTTTTAACGACGAAAGCCGAAAATCAACTATTTCTTTTTAAATACAATAGTCAATCTAGTAGTTGTATACGATAATTAATTTTCTATGAACTAATCGAACAAGTAAAAGGGCGCCGATCATTACATTTAGTTGTTCTCATAGCGAGCATATGGGACATTTCTATCTTTAAAAAAAAAGGAAAGATTTAAAATTCTATCATTATATAAATAATATTGATCGTATATTTAATCAAAATAAAATCTCTCTATTATCATCTATATCCGTATAATCGATCAACAAATCACGAAATATTATCGATCCGAATTTATAGTCTATTTCTCTTATATTTAACTTTACACTCTCTCTCACTATCTCTCTTTCATTCTGTCAAATCGATCTCTTTTGACTTCAATTTTCTATCAATTTATTAATTATGTCTTCATCAACATCAGAAACATCAACAACAAAAAATATCAATAATAGTGGTTTGATCAAACCCAATTTATCATCATCAACAACGAATACTACTAGTGCAACCTCAACAGCAACAATTAATTTAAATCAAAATCAAAATACATTTACACAAGTCATACCAACAACAATCTTCGTCAAAACAAGTGAAACGATTACAGAAGATCAAAAAAATTCTTATGAACAGCAACAACCATTCCTCAGAACTGAACAGTTCATTGAGACAAGACAAAGTTTGATGCCGACACATCAAGGTAAAGTGCCAGTCCACTGTTAGCAACAGTAGCCATAGTTCTACTAGCCGTTTCAAAAGAGAATGACATCGGTTGTTCTTGGAATAAATCCCGAATGGAAGGAACCAAAGAGTTCGAGTTTTCACTATTTTGTAGAAAATCATAGAGTTGCTCGCCAATAAAAAGAGATTTTATTGATGACGAAGTAGCCTCAAAAAAGATTCCAACAAACTTTCTCTATGCACTATAGATGATCACTTCTATATGAAAATAGGTCAACATCTAGAAACCGTTCAGTATGTAAATTTTCAAAGATCCTCTCATTAACTTTATAAGTTTGAATTGTTTCAACTTCGTAGAAGAATTCATAAGGATGTCACCTGATAATTTAAGCTTTTTTTGGGTAAGACTTAAGTGAGGTATTTAGTTTTATTATTGCATGGTGTCTGATGAGAAATATGACTTTTTGAAGACTTTGCTACTGCACTTCCATTAACATGGACACCGAAACGAAAATCATCACAATATTTAGTATGGTTGATTCTCAGTTTCAGTGCTGTTTGTTATTCACTATAAGAAAAAAACGATTCGAAGTCAGATGATTGCAACGATGACACAGTTGTATGACTTGTTAAGCTATATTTGTTGACGCAGCGATTTTCTTTGAAAAGATTGATTATATGCATATGTCTAGATTGCATCTTCAACATAATGTTGTCTTTCATATGTCTTTAATGCGTTTATGGGTATGCATATAGAAGTCATACTCAAATTGCATGGAAGACGTTTCAACAAGAAAGACTCGTAATAATTACATCTTTGTGGACGACTTAAAATTATCGATTGGTACCGCTTGATGAATGTTTTGTCGAAGACCGAGTCTGCATTCAGTTGGGTAAAGAAGAGAAAGAGGTCGAGACTGCCAACTTTAGCATGTAAGACAAGCAAATTATCAGGGAAAAGCAAACAAAGTACTCTTTATTTCTCCTACTGACTTACATAGTTCTCTGCTTTAGATTTCTAAGTTTCGCATAAAAAATCAGCCTGAAAGGCTAGTAAAACTAATACTTAATGGTAAACGAATAGATCGAGTTCAACTTTCCACAGAAACGAAAATACTTTTTAATGTGGCTTTTTCAGACGATCCATAAAAGCAACTAGATGAGAATCGACTTCAATGTCATTTATACGATTTAAAAGTATATGAATGAGTATGACTACTACCGATAGTCGCATGATGTATCTTCAAATAAACGTAATTATGTGGCTAATTGGGAATTGGCTCTGATGTCTTTCTAGAACTCACACTTTTTTTCTCAAGTGTACACTTTTAAGCATGTAGGCTTTTAGGGGTAAAAACGAGTTAACGCTAGTGATGCTTCGGTGACTATCAAAATTTTTCCGCGGTAAATTTCAAGAAACAATTTTTTTCACATTACCGACCGTAAATTAGCAAGCTACTTAAAGTCTGATAATTTTGTCATTTCAGCTACATTGTCACAACTGTCATCTCTTATGAAATTTCACTGTCCGTTATTTGTTTATGTTTCTTTTTTAGAATGCTTATTCTAGTCTTAGTCCTACATTTCAAAGAATCTTTTTCGCTCTTCCTCATCGGAGTCATACTAATCTGAAAAAAATATGTCGGTTTATAACGAGAGTAACATATGGCACAATAAAGGCTAGCAAAACATGATTATATTAAGTCTAAATATGTAAAAATGTATAAAAGCTACATGATCATTACTATGATATCACCATCACTATCACCAAAGTACTGTTAACATATCTTCTATAATTGGTCAAAACTCCATTACTAAGTAGCATACAACCGAGACCGAAACGGAAAAAATTTTCGGGTCGAATTCGGGTCAAACTCATTTGACCCGATTCGGTCTCTGGCATACAATCCTGTCAACACTTCAACCTTCAATAAATTGAGTAACGAACATCAAAAACTTCTATACTGTATTCTCTTTTTGTTCAGATATTTCAACTTTGACCGATTCATCATTAAAACAAGCAGTTCATCTTGCATTAACTTGTGTTGATAATGATCTATCCACAGTATCATCTGATTCTACACGATTATTATCCACTACAGTTTCTGATCTAAAATCAGGTACCACATGCGATTTAGGACGAGTGATGACGACCGCAACAAATTTACGTTGTGAAAATTGTTTAAAACTACGTCAGCAATTAACGATACTAATTTATGAAGTATTAAATTTAGAAAATACTATGGAATCAAAAATATGTGAATATGTTCAAGAACGTTTAAATGAAATAGCTATTAGTAAACAATTAACACTGTTGAATAGTACAAAACAACAAGAACAATTAACAAATAATATATGTGACAGTCAAACAACAAATGATACTTCAACAATTATTGACACAAAAAACACGATCAATAGTAATAGTATGCTGCACTAGTACTGTACGTCTTCTAAAGTAGTAAAATCGTTTTTATAGCGTCCAATCAAGAAAATGAACGTTTAACAATACATGGTTTATCTAATCCATTAAATACTAGTACAACAGCACAAAATAATAACAATAATACAAATTTAAATGGTAGTTCAGTTTCAAGTGGTCGTATTTCATTGGCTAGTAAAAGTGGCGGTGGTAGTGATCATAAGTATAAACCAAGTCGACGGACTATAATAAACGGTGGCAATGGTGCAGTTGTAAGCGACGTTTCAATTGGCAATAATTTATTGATAAGTAATATTCGAAATCAGAATAATGTAAACGGAAATAATAAATATCGTGCCGAACGAACGTTAACATTTGAAAATGTTATTATTGGTGATAGTACATTGAAATATTTAGATCCAGCTCGATTTGATATTGAACGAAAAACATATATAAAAACAATGGTGTGTTAATAATTTGCTAAAATTGTAAATTTTTGAGACAGACAACACTTTTATGCTCTCATTTTTAGCGCGGTAAACGTGTTGCTCAAGCATTAGAATTTATTCAAACAACACGTTTTATTGGAACAAAAAAGATTATGTTTCATATTGGTACAAATGATTTGAATCGCGATAAATTAAGTGAACAAGAAGTAAGTGAACAAATTAAAGAGTTAATTGTTACAACAAAAACTGTCAGTCCACTAAGTGAAGTGTATATATCGTTAATTTTTCCAAAACAAGGCAATGAAGAAAGTCGTTTAAAAACTGATAAATTAAATTATTTATTACAAAGTATGTTCATTCTTGTTTTGTGTGTGTGTATATCTTAAAATTATTTTTTTTAATTTTTTTCATTATCAGGTATGACATCACCAGAATTAAAAGTATTCGTTATTCAACATTTTAATATTTTACCTGATACTCGTGGATGTTTCGAAGATTCAACTCATTTATCAAAAGCGAAAGGTACAATGTTATTTGAAGAAAATATTAAAATTGCTATGGGTCTAAAACGTATAACAAATTCAACAATAATAAATAATAACAATTATAATTCTATAAATGTATTACGTCCATCATCATCAAAACTACCGAGACAACCGACATTTTTACAACAACAAACATCATCAACAAATCAATTGGGTTTGAAACAATCAACAACACAAAATCAAACGATAAACACAACAATACCCTTTAATATTAACAATAATGCATTTCAAAATATGTCTACAATGAATGCTAATTTAAATTTATTAAATGCACATACCTTAGGTGCTTATTTAAGTTTTCTCGTTGGTGGTTTTCGATCTTAAATATATCTTCTAAAACAACATCATATGAAGGCTTTTTTTGATTTTTATTTATTATTTTTCAGAAAAAATAACAAAATGATAAGAGAAAGTTAATTGTTTCTTTTTATTCAAAGTAGTAAGAAAATGTTTTTTTCATTTATCCATCATTTTTATTGTATTGCAAGTAGTAAACAATCAACAATTGAATATTGATCTAATGATACTAAATTGTCCTGACGTCCTGGCAGTCGTATTAAACCATTGGTACGTGAAACACTCATTAATCTTGAACTACACTGATTACCAATGACACGAACAGTAGGCAATGTTGCATTTGATGACCAATTAATAACAACACGCTGATATTCGGGACGAATATCTAAACGATCAATTGGTTGCTCAAGCTAAGAAAAAAATAATCGGACAATTTTATAGAATATGTTTGTAAAGTGATATGTTGTTGGAATGTGATGATTATTGAATATGTGGTTTTTTTGTGTGTGCATGTTTTTCTTGCTAGATGAAATAAAATAAAGATAATAATATACCTTAACTGATATAATTGGATAATTGGGCGATGCATAGCCCATTAAATGTTTTAATAGAGGAACAACTAATAACCAATATGTAACCAAAGCTGATACTGGATTTCCTATAAAAGTGCGAGAAATTGAAATAAAAAACCTGTGATATTTGTTGTATATATGTTTCTCAGCGTCGTACCCGGCAAAGCGAAAATCATCTTTTTTCGATTATTTATTTCACATGTTGCAAATGTTGTCGGTTTACCAGGTTTCATATTTAAACGTCCAAAATGAATGGTACCATCAAACTTTGTGGTCAAAATCGATTTGAGTAGATCCTAAAACAAACATCTTCCTCAGTTTATCTCCAAACGTAGCCTTAGCTCTTCTAGTTTGTCTATATTGTAGTAAATATCAGCATGTCAATATTTTTACCTTATCTCCCATTGAAACGCCTCCAGTTGTTATAACAATATCTGACTTATCAAATGCTGATTGTAGAATTTCAACTACAGAATTTTCTCTAAAACAACAAATAAATAAATCATCATATTTTTCTTTAGACACCGTCTTACTGATCAGTTGCAGTTCCTCCATCAATGGCGTTTATACCAAGTTCTTTTAGCGCGCTTAATAACATTATTTTATTACTATCACGTATCTGACCATCTTTCGGTTCATCATCAATTGCAACAAGCTAGAAATTAATTATATATTAAAATAGACTGATCACTAAACTAAACGTATCTCTTATTTTCCTACCTCATTTCCAGTTGATATTACAGTTACTGTTGGTTTTTCATAGACTTTAACATGTTTTGATCCGATTGTGACTAGTAATCCAAGTTCACTTGGACCAAGTTGAACATTTTTCTTCAAAACAAGTTCACCAATACTAATATCATCACCAATTTTTCTAAATTAAATTTCAAAAAAATATTTAGTTTAATTACATAATTCATACATATATTATTATATACCTTATATCTTGATTTTTGACACAATGTGTTTTAATACGAATGCTTTTCTCTAGATTTGAATCTGGATGTTTTTCATCGATATCTGTATCTTCAATTTGTATTACAGCATCAGCTGAATCAGGCAATTTTGCACCCGTATTGATAATAACGCACTGTCCTTGTTCAAGTTGTACGTTTATCTAAATAGAAAAAAAATATCTTTATTATACCTTTTTACTAATCTTTTATTTACATACATTATCACCAGCATCAGCTCGTCCAACAATTTCATAGACACGTTTTGTTTCATCAGTATGTAGCCGAACAGCATAACCATCTTTAATTGATGCTCGGAATGGTGGAAATGGATGTGTAGCATGAATATCTTTCGCGCATACGTAACCCAAACAATCTGAACATGAAAAATTTATTAATTGATCAAGTTGTATTTTTTGTATTGCTAAGACATATACCGGCTAATGGTTTTTCAGTGACAATTAATTCATTTGCATTATTAAGAATCATTTCTGATGCATCCGCAACGGGTATCGTTGGATAGGGTGATTCTCGTACGCGGTCACCACTATCTAAAGGAGAATAAAACAGGAGATGTTGTCAAGGTTCTCAAATCAAACTTACTTTGCTGATTAGTTGTTAACACGTTTTGATGATGACATGTATGTTTAACAATAACTTCATCAGATTTAGTTGTAGTATCTGTTAATTGAACGCCATCCTGAATAAGAAAATAGTCGAGAGTCTGGATATCTTTTTTGAAAAGAATTGTTGAGTATTTTTCAGTTTTTCTAGATAACTGTACTAGATGAGATGATAGTGTTTGTGTAGATGAGCACTGTCAACGCTCTAGCACAGGAACCTCTCTCTCTTTTCTCGTATTTTCATAATTTTGTGATTTTCTATAAAGCACGAAGATAGACCTAAACTGATTACCAGACGTTTGGGCGCAGCTACATTTGGATGCAACGACATTTGGATGCATGTACAACACAAGCATTTGGTAAGAGTGCATTCGTTAAAGTATGATGCATAACGATAAAATTTTCTTTTTAACAAACTTGATACGGCGTGGGAGCTTTTTCTCTATTATTCGTATCCAATTCTAATCACTGTTTGTTTAATCTTCATCGATACTCACGCTCACCTTCACCCTCGTCCTCGTCTTTGAAGCTCAAATGTCGCGCACCCTAGAGTCGGTATACCACTTAAACTTTGTGCTTTTGGATAATATCACACAGTGGAAAGGGTAGTAGTAGAGGAATGGTACACAAGGGATGGTGGTACAAGTTCCAGTGAACATGAGATTTTTGATGAATGGGATAGTAAAAATTGATCAAATTTTTTTAATTTTGATCTTGACAACATAATTCCTGTGTTCGAAACAAATTTTTTGAAAAATGTTTCTAAGTCAAAATTCGTTTGATGCCTATCAGATTGAATGAAATAAAATCTATTCAAAATTATTTCTGTTTGCACGATGCTAGATTATGCTTTATGTTGAGCTGTAAGTGTTTCGGTACAGTATACACGGCACGTACAATGGTGTACTACGACTGTATGCTTGTACAATATTCGCGCATCGAAACTGTATTAATATCGATTTTAAGATAAGCAAATGGTCAAATAAGAGTTCATACTGTCTATCTTCAAAATTTGTACCACTTTCAGGCCTAGAAGTCATTGGATTGCTCACGGTTTTTGAGCAAGTATTATTATACGAAATATGAAAATAAACATACTTAGGGCATACCAAGAGTAGTGATTTTGACACTTTAATACCGTATAATAAGCTTTAAGAAATTTCTCTCTATATAGTCTGATAGAGAAAAAAATGCTCTATTTTTCTATGCTATTTGATCATATTTCAACTAAAGTTATAATAACGAAATTCCTCTAAGAGCTGTTTTTTCGCATGTTTCACGGTTACAGCAATGCTAGTGAGTATTTTTCGAATAATTTTTGATAGAAACACGATAGAGAACTGCGCTCTTCACCATTGGAAAGAGCAGATGAAGATGCATCGAATCGTGTATTATAAGTTTTTGTAATATTGGTTTCTGAAGTATTCAATTTTCTAACTATCGGGAAAATGTTTTTTTAATGAAAAAAGGAAAAAGCATGAAAATGAACATTTCTCACGGAAATTGCTAGAAAATCGTATTAAAGGCTCAACTAGAATATGTATTATTCATCTCAGCCTTCTGCAGTTTGTAGTTCTTCAATTAGTAGTTTGAATGCGCACCTGATTATTGACACTTCATTGTAAACATCTTACGGGATAGAGTTGTTCTTAAAAAGATCAATTGAAAACCATATAACACGCAGCTCGGAAAATTTTATAATGTGCCATTCGATGCATCTTTATCTGCTCTTTCCAATGGTGAAAACCGCAGCTCTCTATCTTGTTTCTATCAAAAGTTATTCAAAAAATACTCATGCAGTTTTTTTGAAATGAGCATCAGTATAACCGTGAGACATGCGAAAAAAACAGCTCTTAGAGGAATTTCGTTATTATAACTTTAGTTGAAATATGATCAAATAGCATAGAAAAATAGAGCACTTTTTTCTCTATCGGACTATATAGAGAGAAATTTCTTAAAGCTTATTATACGGTATTAAAGTGTCAAAATCACTACTCTTGGTATGCCCTAAGTAGAAATTAAATTGCATCGACAACAAGAATAATGAAATGAATTTATATCAAAAATAATAAATCTAATTAACTCAATCACTGATATTGTCATTTTTATATCATTGACTAACACAAACAAACTTTTCTTTGTCAGAATCATTTTATAAAAGTCTTTCTGTACGTTTAAATACCTGTTTTAGTATATTATGAGTAACACTTATATCCAGTTTCTTATCTTGAATTAAATCAATGGCATGATACAATACTGGATAAACAAATTCAAGACATTCCTTTTAATGAAAATAAAAACATTTTATTTTGAAACATACGATATTTCATTTCTATATCACTCACTAAGCATCCTTTACGGCTACCAGGTAAATTAACAATCAATGTTTGTTGATAAACACCACAAACGGATCTAAAAGATAAGGAGAATTTACATATAAATATATAAAAATAAATATGTAATAAACCGTGATAACATGGCCATTGGTGTTATATTCAATGATTTTGATACCATAGCAAGTGACATGCCAGGAATCTCTTTTGTTATCACTTCACGTGTTGCCTATTAATAAAAATTTAGACTATTTAAAATAGAATCGAAGAGAAAGAGTAACTTTACTTCGGGCGTAACATCCGTTGGACTAATGCCTGTACCACCAGTTGTCAATATCAAATGGGGTCGAAGATCATCGCTAACACGAAACAATGTTTCCTAAACAATGCAAAAAACAATATCGTCTACGAGTCTAAATTACCCTTATATCTGCCGTCACTGATACAAAATGTGAAATGTTACTGCTTTGTCTTATAAAGAACGCTATTTTATACTTGATAGTATACGAACAAATTTATTCTTTATTAAGAAACGAGAAACAACAACAGCAACAACAACAACAAACCGGTTCATAATTGGGAGTTTTTTTCCTTCTAAGAACAACAGTGTGAATACAAAACAAAAAAAAAACGTTGGCTTAAAGAGATTTAAAAGTGCAAAAATTTGAATGAGTGAGCGAAAAGTTTAGCATTCCCATCGTTAGATGGCAAGATGGAAAGGGAAGACGTGACAGAAAAATAGTGATACTAAAACAACAACACTAATCAGAAAAATATGATTACACACAAAAAGAACACGAGCAACAAATATAATCAGTGAGTATTTGATCAAATCAAATTACAAACATAGAAGGGCTAACTAGTGATTGCAAGAACAAAAAGAAAAAAACTAAACAGATAAGCCATTATCATTTGAAAAAACAGACGAAGAAAAGTGACGTATGCATGCAAAAGGAATGAGTAAAAAACACAAAAGGAAGTCATGTAAAATTAGTTTATTTTTTCTTATACGCATAATTATTGTTTGAATTATATTTTGTGTTTGTTACATGTAAATGCAATAAGATATAGTTCAATATAAGTGTCCAATTATTTGCACATAAATAAATAATACCCAAATAAATAGCAATAAATGATGCTAAAACTAAATCAAATATAGCCGGTTTAACACGATAAACATAGAGTAATCGTGCCTCCTCATCACCATCATAGAATATAAATTCTGGATCTTTTCTAAAATTAATAGAAAAAGAATTGTTACAATTATTTTAGACAAAAGATACTTGAATTAAGAGAATAAAACCCATGGATTATTTAACTAATTAAACAAATGAATGTTTTAAATGTCATTACGAGTGAATGTGTGAAAGTAAATGATGATCGCCGTATTGTCAAATTTCTCCCCTTCTTTAGATCTTTCTAAAAAAGTTTATATATTTTCCTAAAGATTCTCTATTTCATTTTCTACAAAAAAAACATATCGAATATTTTTCTATATACTGTGAAAATTAGAGGAAACATTATAACGCTTCAATCTAGACATTCTCTCATTTCTTCTGTGACAAAAGAAGTTGACTTTTTCGCTCTGACATAACAAAATAACTGAAACTATTAAACTTTGTCCGGCCAGATGTGATAGAAGACTTATTCTCGTTTAAGTTAAACAAATATCATCGATCACAAAATGTTAAATTTTGACCGAGTTATAAAAATTTTCCTAACTGCTCCAAAACTGTAGTTTAAAAAAAGGATAATTTTTTGACAAAAATTGATAAAAGAAAAAACCCTGTACGTTGTGATTATGAAGAATTTAAAATATAGCCGGTTGATAGACTATTTCAAAGGCCACAAATGAACATCATCTCTCTGAGTGATAGTGGTAGGACTTGTAGAAGAAATGTATTCATTTTTCTGCAGCTAATTTGTTTGGATACTGAAATTTATTAAAATCAGAGCTTTCGAATCGATAGATCCATCTTTAGTGGAAAAATTCGTATTTTATATACAAATATGTACAAGTTTTTCCACCAAAGATGAATCTATCGATTCGAAAGCTCTGATTTTAATAAATTTCAGTATCCAAACAAATTAGCTGCAGAAAAATGAATACACAACATCTTCTCTTTTTTTATATTCGAAAATATGAAAAACTATTATTGAAAAAAACTGTGTTTGGAGTTTAGAAACTTGTTGAAGTTTGAGGTTTGTAGTGTTTTTTCTAGTTTTTTTATTTTTATAGTAAACAGAAAACTGTTCGATACGTCTTTTTTTGTAGAGAATGAAATGGAAAATTTTTTGCAAAAAAAAATATATGAACGCAAGGGAATCTAAGAAAGAGGAGAAAATTCGACAATTACAGGCACTATCAGCACTCGTTATTTCGAATTATAAGATTTTTGGAAGGATAATTATGAGTTTTAATTTATTTTTAAGTGTGTCTTACTTGCTATGTGGTCTAATTGGTATTTTTTGAACATGTTGTAAATAATTTTGTGCATATTGTTCTAATGCAATTAAAACTGGATGTTGTTTCGTTAATAACGATTGTGAACGTGAATATGATGTTAAAAAATTTAACCATATTTTTAAAAATTGTTGATCATAAATTGATTGTTGTTGTGACATAATGTATTTATGATCAATAATAGACATATTTAAATCCGTTGTATTATATAATAAACGTATTAGTGCATCACTAATATAATGAAAATTTTTATCAAGAGATGATAGTTGAACATCTTCTTTAAGATCACTTATCGTTGAATGTTGACATGTTTTTGATGTATTTAAATGTGAAAAAGTAAAGGCAGGCAATTTTGACCAAGAATATTTTTCATGTTCCCATGCAACAAAATCACTTGTTTTTAATATTTTTTTATGTATTTGATCAAAATCAAATTGACCATAAACGGATTTTTCGCTTAATCTTGTTAATAAATCTCGTAATATACCAGCCTAATAAAAAAATGAATTAAATAATAGAAGTCAAATGATAAGAGTACAAATACTTACTGATTGTGTATCTCGAGGTGGTTTAGAAACGTGCATATATAATTGATTTGATTGCCCTAACGCATCTAAACAGATGTAATAACATTTAATGCAAGACTCTTATTTGTAAATGGAAAGGTACAAAATTCATACCTAAACAAATAACAACATCAATATCGTTTTGTAATTGTTGTTGTTGTTGTTGATCATGATAGTCATCGATCCATCGTTTACTTCCCTGATAATTTAATTTACCACCGGCCGAAAATAAAAATAATAAATTATATTTTGCACGTGTTGTTTGTTTAGCATATAATTTTGAAAATAGACGTATTAATTTCAACAATACTAGTAGACCACTTGCATTTGAATCTGCACCGTATGATAAACCTGTCGCTATTCCCAAAGTATCATAATGTGCTACAAATAATATTTTTGGTAAACGTTCTTCAATACCATGACCAATGAGTTTTCCTTGTATATTATACATAACATTGTCTTGCCGTTGTTGATAACGTCCTTGTGATATAGAAAATTGATAACCATCAGCTGTTACCTTATCATAGAGAACAGAAAATGCTGAATCTTTTTGTGAATCACGTCTTGATTCTATTGCTTTATATAAATCAATTGTTTGCTGTGTTTCTTGTAGAAAATAAACGGGTATTTGAACAGATTCTTGTAGTAATATTTGTTCTACATCACACAATTGTTGTTTTTGTTCATCAAGCCAACGATTAGACATATTTGGTATCAATATGAATAATCCATTAATTCCTTTTGATATTAATTGTCGAAAACGTTCAATTGTTAGTTTATTCAAATGTATTAATACTGTTTTACGCTGTATATTTGGTTGTGACCATATTCGAACTTCAGATGAAAGATAGGCTTGACGACTACCAAACGTTTGTCCATATAAATCAAATTGTTGCATACGATAAACTTTAAATTCTTGTGTACCATCAACAAAGCCAAATGGACAAAGATAAGATGGTGATAGAATACAGATGATTGGTATCCAATATAAAAAGAATCCAGTTAACGTTGTTGTACGAAAACATAATATATCAAATAAATCACTAAAATCCGTATCGAACAACATGACTTTGATATGTTCTTCGATACACTCACACACACATACGCGTATCAATAGTCTACGTATCTAATCTACAATATACAAAAAGTAGTATAAAGCTCGACAACAAGTAAAGCACAGAAGATGTTTGCTAAAAAAATCTGTCACAGTTACTTCAGTATAGCCCTAATTACGAAGAGAAATCTTCGTTGAGCGCAGAAATCTCTAGTTCAAAAGCGATTTAACTTTTTTGTTATTTTGAAAATGAAGTGAAAAAAAAATGATTTTAGACGTACGCTATTTTATATACAAATATTATTGTTTCAACAAATTTAAAATGATTGATTCAATAGATTGACATGAGAAGAGAAATAAAATTATTTTATAGCGATACTATAAAACAAAGCAATACAACAAGGTACCTGTCAAAAGAAAACAACAATATGTATCTTATAACTGACAATTCCTTCACATAATGATCATTAAATGTACATAGAAGAAATTAAATATCAGTGACGGCAGATAGTTAGAGATGATAACAACAACGAGAACATTTTACACTTGCCTTAATCTGTGCTTGATCATCCGAAACAATAGAATGTACCATATGTACCCATTGAACACTAAAGACTTTAGAAAAATGTATAACAAGAAGACAACATAGTTGTTTTTCAAAAAATCAGAGCATATTTAACCTCTAACTAGCGAGTGAAGACATTCATGTTTAAGATTTCATCGTTCGTACTAAACATGAATGTTTATTTTGGCAACAAAACCTGCTATTTTGAGCAACCCTCTCTCGATACAATACAAAAAAAAGGCTCGGTTTTCAATTGTTTCAAGACTCGTCGTACTTACATTGCTCTTTTTTATAAATTTTTAGCGTTATTAGAGAGCGAGCGTATTAATAAAAGCAACTATTTTCTACAGCTACTAAACATACGTTTCATTTGATTTATCAGCCAAATATCGAATTAATGCTGGACCACTTTGATCTTGTCTCGCATCATCAAAACATGTTGTACTAACTATAAAACGTAAAATGAATGTAAAAACAAAAGTATATGCACTGTTGTTTTTATGCGATAAAAAAAATGAGACATATGTAGAAAATCATATTTATTTTATTTACAAAAAAATATTCGATTCACTCTCATCATCATCATCATCATCCTGATCCTCATCCTCATCTTCTTCTTCACCGAATACATCTTCATTTAAATTCATTTTTTCTTTATTTATAACAAACGTCTGTTTTAATTCATCCAACATTGAACAATTTTTATTTATCTCATGTTGAGTGATAAATGGCTGCATGCTTTCAACTAATGGTTCAGTTTCATGATGTATCACTTTCTCGACTATCTCTGATGAATTTGTTGGTTTTATATTCAATAGTTTCTCTTCTCTCTCGTTCCATTCTTGTTTTTTTGTTTCAATAGCGTTTCGTAATTCATTCATCAACGATTTTGTTTGTTCAGCAAGAAACTTTTGATCATAATCAACTTCGGTTGTATTTCTTTCTTCCAAAGCTGACTGTTCTGTACCCGTATCACATGTTAAAACTTCATCAACATATTCCAATGGTTTATCATCATAACGATAAAAACTTGTGACTTGATTTTCAGCATCTTCTTTGGTATGTTGGGCAGAAAATAGATGTGGATTCTCAGATGTAACAACTTGTTTACCACGAATATCTTCAATGAAATGACAAGCTGTTTTTATATCGTAAATAATACGTGTCAGTATATTTTCATCCACAGAGATCATATTTTGTCGATCAATTTCGAATAATTGTTCACAGCATAATCTTAATAATACACTGGCTGATCGAAATTTAGATGACACTTGGATAACAGAATTGGGAGACAAGTTGTCCACGTAATCGATTAAAGAACATTTTTGTCGAACAATTTGGATTTCTTCAATTGAGACTGTCAACAAATCATTTAAATTTTTAATATCTTTTATTACTTTCAACAGAGATGCAGTCTGTGAGCCAGCTAAAATTAGTAAAAAAATGACTTTCCAAAGTCTATTTAAAAAAGTTAAAGATCATTCTTATTCTTCCGAATCTTTGGGTTTTCAAAATTATAATGGAGTATCTCGGTCACCTTCCTATTACTCTTACTCACGCTCAATTAGACTAGCGCACCTCTGATTTGAAGAATATCCAACATATAGAATTGCATCAGTTGAATATATTCATGTATTTGTGTAAGGCATAACTTTTTCGTTGAATTTATTGCTGATAAATCATATTTATTTGTTAATTCATTGAGAGTATCATTGTTTGACGATGATAATATTGGCCCAAATTCATTTAAATCAATATGACATGATAAATGATCATAATCACTCTTCATCCATTCGATCATGGCTGTTAAGCTACGAGATGCTTGATATGTATGTAGAAAACATTGTCGAAGTTGACTAAATAATGCATGACGTAGAGAAAATAGTTTGGTATCAAGTAATGATGATGATGTTGTAGGACGTATTAATTGAAAACCGCTTATTTGTGACATCCATGTTTGATTCGATTGAATTATTTGAAAATAGACTTTAAGATTTGATAAATACAATGACCACTTTTTAAACATATAAATAAATAACAAAAAATCATTAAATAATATGTAGAGAAAATAAATAGAAACCATTGTACTAATAAAAATTAAAAATATTCTGTGAACTATGGAAGTTAAAAAATAGATGAGCACCAAACAAACCTTGAAAAAAAGGAAAAAAACACCGGTTAGAGGTAAGACGCAGCCTACCAGTACAAATTTTCTATATTCAGTCAATTAAAAAAGAATCGTTCATCTTACCATGCATACGATAAATAATTTTTTTATAGATGAACTAGCTCGTTTTCTTAGTTTTTGCTTATTGTTTTCATAATCAGCGAGTTCATCAATATCATTAACCTCTAAGATACGATGAATATGATGCCATTGACTAGATAAAAAATAGCTGAATATATATTTGAACAGTAAATGGACATTAAAATAAACGTTGAAATTCTTGCTTAATACTATTTTCACTTCATTTAGAAGAGAATGATTTGTTTTTGTTAAATCAAATTGTTGTTGTTGTTCTTTGATAATAGTTTTTTTTGTTATCGGTGAGGATAAATTGTGATCGGTCATCAGATCAGCAAGAGGACCATATGGATCAATGTCTTCATCAAAATCGTTCATCTTTGATTATCTACTAATTTTAGAATCTTAAATATACTCGATTTACATAAGAAAAGAGAAATTGACTAAGAAAAATAGAAGCAAGCTGTCTACTACAATTAAATTAGATAGATGAGTATTTTAGAAAGAAGAATTAAGAAAATAACAGAAAAAAATTTTTTTTTTGTTGACCTGTTATAATTGCAAAACGTATTTCTTTCATAGTTCGTTGTTTTTTCCAATCTATAAAATGTAAGTGAAACGATATCGAATTATAATCTCACTACACATAGGCTAAAAATTCTCTATGAGTATGAACAACAGTAAGAAGTGATAATTTAGCTTTTTCTTGAAATATTCTAGCAGAAAAAGAATGTTCGCCCATTTTAACGTGACCATTGAACAATCAAATGTTGGCCAGAGTATCAGCAACGTTGACTAGGATAAGTATGAAATAACAGAAAAACAATAGAACTTTTGCTCTCTCATTTCTTTTCTAATCCCTTTATAAATGTTCATTTGTTCAAATGTCTCAAAATTCAATTTCTCTCATGCTAACTTAATACGACCTTTAATGCATTCTTTTAGTTTTTAAGTCAATCAGTTGTTCTTAGTTGTGCCTGATCTATCGGGTTGAGGATTATACTTTACGTAGTTGTGAATAGTACACATATAATTCATAAGCAGTTATCACATTGCATACACTGTAAAGAACAAAGATGGTTGCAATCGTTTTCTATGCCCTCCATAAATTACGAGTACTTTATCGTCTGATTCTTCAAGTTTTGTGAGCATTAATCAACTGGCTAATCCCTAAGATCTCTCTCATAAGAATACGTCAGCGACCTTTGATGACTCTCACTTTTCGTGAATAAAACAGTCTTAGTCTTATACAATTGATTGGAAGGAACCTTCACTTCGTCATAAAACGCCGTGCTGGTAAAACGTTTTCGTATGGTTGCGAGAAGAGCCAATCCTAGGGAAATAATTTGGTGCTTCTACAGATTGATAATCACACCCCTACGTAGCGATAACATTAGATAGATATAATAACAAAACAAAAACGAAAAGTTATTGCTAATATGCATATGTATAATTGGATAAACTGTGAGAAGAATTGTCCTCGTGAACAATAGATGACTCTAGTTATAGAGCGTTGTAGCACATAAGATTGTCCGATCCTAATTAATAGGATGAGTCAAAAGATTATTAAACAAAATTAATTATTACTATGTAAAAAACAAGAAAAATCTGAAGAAAAAAATAACATCAGAAGCATAAACAAACATAAAGTAGAAAAACTTACAGAAAACTACTTCGTACCGCTTTTCCAGCATTAGTGTTATACTATTTAATTTATAATAGTTTTTACGTGCTCAACTAATTATTTTGTTTAATTTATTAACTAATCACGTTTCCTTTTCTTTAATAATCCTTTGACTGATTCTATTAATTGGGATCTGATAATCTTATCTGCTACAGGTCTCTATAACTAGAGTCATCTATTGGTCGTGCGGACAATTCCTCTAACAGTTTATCCAATTACACATACATAAAGATATTACCAATAACTTTTCGTTTTTTTTATTTTGTTCTGCTAAAGGACTCAAAACAGCAAAAAAGCGTGTTTTCGGCGTCAGAACGCACTAAATTTCCCAAGTAATTGGGAAAAATTCAGTAATAGTTGAGAAGAGTAAAAGGTATTATACATTAATCGATAGATCTCCATCTGCCGATGCAGCTCTTAAAACTTTATTCACTACTGTTTTCAGTGAAAAATGCCGAAAAGGTTAATCTGTAACCGAAAGGTGAATTTTGACAGTCATAACGCGTACTTGCGAAACTAATAGTTTTCAATTCTGCGATTGAATAAAGCGCACTCAAACGAATCGAATGGTGTATAATAAGTTGAATTTTGTTTCTGTTCGCTTTGACAATAAGCATTTAGAACTTTCATCGGACATTTCTTTCTTAAAACTTTCATAGAATATTTTCGCGTATTTTTCAAATTTCTTATCGATAATGTAATATTTCAGGTCCTTTTTGTTATTAAATAACAATCTCATGAGATCTAAAAATGATCAAAGTTTGATCGTATTATTTATTGAGATATCAAGAAAACAAAATCGAAATTTCATCGGGCATTTTGTGCGAAGAGCCTCAATATAATTTTCCTCAAACAATATAATATAATTTTCTGTAGAAAGAAAGTGTTGAATTTTCTTATCAAATCATTATCCACTCGAAGCTGTATCACTTCTACTTATGAACAATCATTTTCAGTTTTTTCTTTCGCTCGAGATTGCGCCTTGAAATCTCACCGAACTTAAATTTTAAAGTGCGTAACAAGTAAAGATCAGCTTTTTTCTAATTGAAATTTTCCCTCTGTCTGCGATCAACTGGTGTGGAATTGTAGAGAAAGATGTGGCCTATAAAATGCAAAAACAATAATACCTCTTAAAAGACTAGATGTGTTGGAAAAAATATGTTTTCGTTCAGTAGACGGCGGCAAAGACCAATCAACGACGAAATGCAAGACTTATATCTCATAAACTATAGAAACAAAAGGTTGACCTATAGCACGGTAGTGATTCACTGAACTTTCATCGAAAGATGGTCTTAGTGCATCCAGACTTCCATATTATGGAAGACTGGATGATCTTTATGGAACTTATAAAGATCTATCTTCCAAAGTCAAAGTCATACTAGTCTCAGTTTTGTACACTTACGTGTTAATTTTATATACTTAAGTCTAGACTTCGTTAAGTCGAGCTCTTAAGAATTTTTATTAAACATCTTCCAGACTTCAGCCAAATTAGTTTAACCGCCACTCACTCTCACGCTGTAGCATCACCCTCCCCCTTACTTAGATACTGGCAGAATTTCAATTCTAGTTCTACCAGAATCTGGCAGAACTCCAGTAGGATCGAGCAAATTGTGTTCGGATTCCAACTAGAATTGGAATTCTGTCAGTATCTAAGTAAGGGGGAAGATGATGCTACAGCGCAAGAGTGAGTGACGGTTAAACTAATTTGGCTGAAGTCTGGAATTTGTTACGGAATTGTGGAAATTGATACTACTCATTATGGAAGCCTGGATGCACTAACACCATTTTTTCGATAAACTCACTTTTCGAGAAAATTTCCTTTCGATGAAAGTTTGCAGTACCCACGGTAGTAAGCGGTAGGATTGTGTCGAAATGTAAACCAATCGAAAGCTCGTAAAGAGACTTCACTATCACTGAGAATTAAGCTGCTTTAAATGCAAACATAAGCGACTTTTCAGTTCAAGAGCTGACAGTTAGAACTCAGACAACCATCAAAGGAAGATAGAATGGCAAAATCTCTTAGATTTTTCCACATGTTTTCATTGATATTTAAACATTAAAAGATATTCTACTACAATTCCATAAGCAACAGTTCTAATCATTTGTATATTTTACTATATGATAAAAATAATGAAAAGATGGGAATGTATTTTTTTATTTGACAAAAACTTAATAAAACGAATTAAATGCGTGAGTGCATATGATTTCTTATTATTGTGAAATAAACCTACGACTTTATATTCGTATGACTACTCAAGTGTATGATAATGAAAAAAAATGGGTGTAGCATGCATTCATTCAATTCTAGTCATTGTATAATATTGTCTATTAACATACATTATGAACACGAAGTGAATGATAACCAAAAATAAAATCAAAATAGTATAAAATTTGAAATAGCAAACCGCTCATCCACATTCTGGTTAAATCTGCTAAGGTATCAATTATTATCACGTAGTTTATCATTTTGTCAATTAGTACATGTTCACCTGTAATTTCTCGCTCGTTACGACTACGTGTTTTTCATTTAAAATTATATTTTAAAAATTTTTCTTTTAGATGATTACTAAAATTGAAGACAAGCAATTAAATGAATCATCAGACAGTTCTGTTGATGAAGATGAAGAACAACAACAAAAATTACAAAAACCAAATATATATAATAAATATTTACCATTTTATGAGGAAATTAAAAAGCAAGGTTTTGATTCATTCAATGAAATATGTGAAAATCTTAGTAAAATTATTCAATTGAGAGAACTGAGACCGGGTTTCTCACTTTGGTCGTCAAAATTACAACGGTACTTACTTACATTATATAACTAGGACGAACTTACTGTTTTTTTTGCTCCTGTTTTTTTTTTTCATATAGATTTATCAATTTATATGGCTATTATTTTTCCAAAGAAGAACATCTTCGATTCATCAATTTTTATTTGTCAATATTATCAATTAAAGATTTGGACTATTCACACGTTAAAACATGTTTTGATATGTTGAAAGAGCTGTTGAGGTAAATACATCCATAACCGTATAACTCAAGGTCATCTCGTGGAAAACATGTGTAAAAATGTATCGCTCCTTCATTAAGTATAAGACTAGCTATGAATTGAGAATAATTGCATGTTTTTCTATTGATATTATTTTTGCTCTATTTTACTTCTAGAAAAACTCGTTTAATTACTCGCGATGATCTAACAATTGATTGGAATCAATTGTATTATTGGACAAAACGAATTTTGCATAATCATGACGTATCTTATGCTCTTGTTGCCATGCCAGAGTACGTGACGATTCTATCATACTCACAATTGAATTATACATATTAGTTATTTACTTGTTTCAGTGATATTGTAGATTCTTTATATTATTGTGTTCATGGTTGTCGTCCATATTTATCTCCAGCATCCACACAAGAAATACTTGATCAATTTCGACCACATCTATGTCCATTTGATTCAGCATTTTTCGATGCTATTAGAATATTTGAATTATTTTTACCTGTACATTTACCTCCACAATTACATGACAAAGGATTTAAGTACATAGCACAATTTACTATGCGTTATTAGCTGTTTAATACGTCTATCATTTTATCAGATTATGGCTTCCCGAATTTCTTGGAATTTGGGAGAGTGTACATAGTAATCCAGAATGGGAAGGAAATTTAGTGAATTTGTTTTCAATAGTAGCATGGTATAATATCGGATATATCGATTGGCAGCCTTGGATTCCAAAAGTAAACAAATCGATTATATTCTTGTTCATAAACTACTGTACTTGATGTATTTTAGATCTTCACGCGTATACTGCAAAGTATGGGTTTACCAGTTGGTAGTACAAAAATAAATGTAACTTTAGCTCCAAGCAATTATAATACGATAAGTGTGACGACGTGGATTGTTGCCATGCTGGTAATGTCTTCTTTTCTTTCATTTTTCAATCATTTTATTGGAATAGATTGTTGAATACTTTAGGGAAATGGAAGTTCATGTTTACAATATTTAAAAGATTTATTCACTGCCATTAAAACGTTTTATCATCCATCTAATACCGGAAAATTTCAAGTAAAATCAAATTATTTATTCTCAAAATATACGTCTTTTTTAATGCAATATCTTTTCTCAGGATGATTTGGTTGACTTTATATCAAACTTAGCTCAAGTATTCGTCGATCGTGTTCATTTGTAAGTAGTTAATGTTTTACCGTTATTATAACGTCTCAGAGACGATTTATTCTTTCCTGAATAATTTTACTTTTCTTCTCAAACAAGAGAACGTTTTAATTCCGTTTTTAGAGAACATAAAGTACATCCGGTATGGTGTTTCATGCCACCACCAGCGTATCGTTTAACTGAACAAGATATAACAGATTTCGTTAATTGTATGAAAGAAACGGTGTTCATTACTATATTTTTAAAATCACATGAAAAAGAAGCAGCAAAAGCATGTCAGTATTTGTCAATGTTGAGGCCAGAGTTAATTGTTCCACCTGTAGTAGAAAAGTAAGATATTATTTATGTGTGTAATCAGTCAGTGTATCGATTATTCTCTTATTTTCTTTAGACTATTTTCAAGTGTTGACAGTATGACAGAACCTCATCGTTTCACGTCGTTAATGAATTGTTTAGTTTGTATAGCAAGGCAAATTGTTCGTCAAACTCCTAATTTCACCGAAGGACAAACCTATGTTATTCCTCTGTTAATGGCAGTTTTACCGGGCATCGATCCAAATGATTTTAAAAAAACAGCTGTCACATTTCGATTTTTAAATTCCATATTGATGTTGGTAACTTGTGTTGATTGTTCATCAGCCATACACACAAGAACAGATTTAACTCCGGTATAGGATGCGATCAGAAGAAAAAGATAAAATAAAATTTCAATTGACTTTTTATTATTGTAGATTGAAAAGGAAGTTTGTCTATCCACAGCAAAATTTGAAGATTTCATTACAGAATTTTTAAATCGTACATTTCAAATCATTGATACTTTATCAACAGAAATGTCAGACGCTGTTACTGTTGTAATAAAATCAAATATGGAAGATCATATCACTGAGTCAGCACTAACATCCATGATGTTTGGCATAGTTCAACAATGTAGTCAAAAGATATTTCAAGTAAGGATGATATGACGAATGTATAAGTAGATTAAGACAAGATATTTCATGTGATTCGGCAGTTTTGAGCACAACAAAGACCAAAGTCTCCTTATTTTTCTTATATCCTGAAATGAAAATCAAAAATTCAACTTTGTAATGTTATCGCCGTAAATTTCATCTACACGACCAAACCATTTTGAATCTTGTAGCATCAAAGTGGAAAGACAGATATCCAGAATGCTGAAAGCGATACAGAAGTTATAAAATCCTTTATTTTTATAGAGCAACTATTCCTAAAAAAGAAATTGGCATGATACTTTGTCATAGCTTTTCGACTAAAATCCCTCTCAGATGAAAAGGTCCCATACTAGAAAACCACTGTTGACGAAGATTTTTTTTCCTCACGATTCCCGGTAAAAAAATCGATTTAAGTTATTCAGAAGGTCATGATAGCAGAAAGAACACTGGTGAAATATTATCGAACTATATGAAAATAACTGGAATTACCGCAATATGAGCGGAGTTTACCGCTTTGAGATTCAAATGCGAATGTGCGCCAATAATTTTCATCCCAGTATAGTCGGATATAGCGTGAACTATATCACGTCATAACACTTTCAATGATGCTTTAACTCTCCGTTGGTTACTTAATGGTAGCACAATAATAAAGTGTAGCAGGATATACAACAATGAAAAATTTTCGATGGATATCATTATATCAGAGTGTTACAATACTTTTAATGTTTCTAACAGTAACTTTTGTATTCGGCTGTATACATCGGTTGTCATTAATCGTATTTATCACGATAAGAATCGCTGTCGCGACAAACATCGAACCTAACGTGATATGCATTGAATCATCGACAGTTTCTAAAAACTTTAAAAAGGAAAGCAGAACCAACGGTGGTGATCAAACAATATAATAATGCTTTTAGGGCTAGTTTTTCCTAATTTTTGCTATGAAAAAAGCGTTTTCTACAATTCAATCTAGAGACAACTGTATGGTAACTTTAATTTCCCAATTTTTATCTGCTGCGTTGGACTCGACCCGATTTGATTTTCAGGATGAAAACCTGTATTTACGATTTTTTTCATGAAGATCGGCTTCAAGAAACCCAGCTATAGCAAATATTTTTTAGAGAATTAAAGTCTCTACCAATAATGTGCCGGACTCAACCCTCAGAAATGCTTCCTTCACGGGAAAAGGAGGAGTTTATTATATTGTTTGTTCACCTGGGTGCCAAACGGTTTGTATACTCAGTAAAAACGGTCTAGTTAACCAGTATATGTACTGGTACTAGTGCATACCTAATACAGACGTATCGCGACAAAAGTTCGATATAAAAATATCGAAAAGCTTTTAGTAATACAATATATCGATGAGCCGTCGTTGATCGAAATGCATGTAGATAACATTATTATCAAGAGATATCCCGATATAGTGGAGTGTTCTGACGTTCGTGATATATTGTCGTAATATATTCGGTAGGTCTATTGGAAAAACTATCATGGGATATATATTGATTGTTTGAAAATATGTAACGAGTGACTATAAAAAAACAAACTAGCTTTGTATATATAGCCTCTAGAAACATGTTAGAAAGCCATGAAAAACTTTTATTATAGAGATTAAAAGGGGACCAATAAAAAGAGAAGACTGTTTTACCTAACTATGTATTTTTCGTGAAACTGACTTTTAGTAGAAAAATGCAATTAAATGACATTGAGTCTAAATTCTGGATTTTGTTGTTTTTTGGTTTAGTTTGCTCTACATAAAGTAATGAATTTCATTGCTGGCAGTTTTTATACACCAAAAGTTGGTAAGCTGGTCACCGGTCTTGTACGTGCATTATTAAGAGGGAATGCATTTGAAACATTAAAACATATATTACCACAAACGTGTGAACGAATTACACAAATAATGAATAATATTGAAACAACAATTCTCACTGATCATAAAGGTGATACCGAATTAACATGGTGTCTAATCTTATTTTCTGAGTTATTACGTGCCAGAGGTGATGCATTGATGAAATATAAACAAATGATTATGCAAATATTTTATCGTTGTATATGTATTATTCACAAAGATAGTTATGAGGCGATAGCAAATGCTGCAAGAAATTTATTAAAATCATTGACATATATGTATTCGATTGATTATCGTTTAACAGTGGAGAATATCGATGAACCATTTACACATTTTTTACCAATTAGAGTAAAATTAATTATAAATTTAAATATAAAATTCTTAAGTCTCAACGAAACTACGTTTCCTTCTAGGCATGGGGAGAACATGTTCAATTTGATAATCTACAAGTCCAGTTTCACATACCAAATGCAGAGGAAGTTGATTTTGCATGTGAATTTATAAAAATCTATTTATATCCTGAATTGAATTTATTAACCGAAAAAGGCATTAAATTGTCGAATGATGAACGTCTAAGATCATTGACCATTGTACAATCTATTGCAATCGGTTGTCTTGCAATGATACCACGTATTAATAGCAAAGAAGTGGAAGATCTGTGAGTAAGCATTACGAGCGAAAAAATATTTGTTCGAAATTTAAATTATTTTATCGCTTTCATGATATTTTCATTTCTTTGCTCTTGTCTTTTCTAGTGTTCCATCAGTTGCTCCATATGGATCAAAATTTTATGTACGATATTCAGTTTATGCTAAACAACCAGGTATACTAATGAAAAATGAAAAGAGTATACTCTATTATTTTATCTTTTATCTTTACTTTTAGAATTTGATGAAAATTTGAGGTTACGTCTGTTGACAGATATTGGAAAACTAATTGGTACTGACAAAAGGCAATCTTTACTTATTTTATTATTTATTACCATAACTCTTTACTCTAATAGATGCCTTAGCCGAAAATCATTCAGATGATGCATCGTCATTAAAAACTGCACTAAAGGTATAAATTACAAAGGATATGATGATGCATCGTATTTTATTAATCGTTATTTATTCAACTCCTGAGAAGTGTTACGTGACAAAACTAACTCCAAAAGAGCTGAGTGAATTAAAAACTCAGACTTTTTAAGGTTTTTAAACTATGCTCTTTCATTTGGCTCTGATTTAATGTCTTTTAAAATGCATGAACGTCGGATTTCTAAAAAATCATGGCTTTAGGCATACCTGGATACAGAAAAACTTTTCCCTAGGAAAATGCTGTTCCTTTAAAA